TTTTATTATATATATATATATGCATTATGTATATGTAATAGTATTTATATATATATATATATATATAGGTATGTTTGGATGCATGGATGTATGGATTTATGTCTATATGTAAGTATTTGTGAATGTATGTAGGTATATTGAATTGTAGGTATGTAGATGTATATATATAGTTATATATATATTTCTGTGTCTGAGTCTTGGTCAGTGTCAGTGTTTGTGTCAGTGTGTGTATTTATGTGGATATACTCATGAAATTTATTTATGTATATCTGTAAACCTATATATAAATATATATATATATATATATATCCAGGTTGTTCTTGTGGATTGCGTTTCTTATGTACATTTCGCACTCCATGTTTTGTGTAGAAATCGCGCGGCAATATTGCTGGAAAGATTGGACGATGATAGGAGGAGGGAGATGAACCACCACACCGGCGACATTCGTGAAGAATTACCGAGAAATAGACATCCCAAACGCACCGCTGATGCTCTCTCCAGATTGGCCGACCATAACTTTGATTCTCTAGAGGAGAGGTGCGGTTCATTTATGTTATGTGCAGACGTCTGAGAGAGGCCCTTTGTGTTTCACTTGGAACTCTTTTGAGACACCTATTATATATGTCTTTTCAAGTCCAGCTTGACAGGGTTTCCAATCTGAACTTCAATCATGAAAAGACAAGGTACTGTTCTGCACTCACCTACCTCAAACACTACTTTGCAAAATAGGCCAGGTTGCCATGTAGCGAGTGTACCGTTCATCGAAAGCATTTTCGTACTCCTGCACATTTGGTGCAAAACCATAGCTGAGACATCCATCTGTATATCGCACGGATAGGTCACATTATATATCATGCTCACGTCACGAATTTTGCTGTCACCATTCAGGGGCACACTTCCGGCTGTTTTCAGTAGTGCAACCTCTACTCTCCTCTATCGCCGAGGCCAACGTAAAGGCTGGCCTGTATATACACCTGAAACTGAATCAAGCTACGTGTACCGCACGAAGCCTGCGTATCCACTTGCGGGAGCCAAAAGATATGTCCCGGCTTACTCAGAACAGATGAAGCGAGAATCCATGCGATCGCAGAGTATCGAGGTTTTGCGAGGCATGGTCACAAGCCTCGGTACATTTCGTCTGGGTGAGCGACACATCAAGACGAAAGTCGGCGTGCTGGAGCAAGAGAGTATGACGGGTGGCTTTTTACTATTATATCAGTTTACAGTCTGATATGTGTGTATTCTCCGCTTGTTGTACGATTGTACTTCTTTCTTGTTTTCTTTTTTCACTTTAACCGATCAACAATCCACGCACGTTATCGTGGACGGTTGTCGGGAATATAGCTGGGTTTATTTGAATACAACAATAATTCGACCTAGAAACATCACTACTGGGCTACTTAAAAATCGATATCCGCACTGAATTCTTTCAAATTCAGATGGCGACGAATACAACAATATGTACACCTCTATGGGTGCCATACATACCGCCGCCATTCCTCCAACATCACCCACACCATCTGGTAAACTTCCACTGCCCGTACTCGCTGATGGTATTAGCGGTGCGGACAACACAATCAGCGCACCATCGTCCCTGTCCACACTTGGCTTGGATGTTTCGGCATCTACCGGTTTTATGGCGCTACCGGTGAGGAATAAGGGCCGGCCCAAGAAGAAGAAGGGAGCGGTAAGTGTTGGCAGCCACTCAGTGCTTCAAATAAGTCTGTGACGTTTACCTATTTAACACGCTCTATTTTATCAATGACTGCCTGCACGGGGCAGTACCTTCTTCCTGTGTAGGTGAATATTGCCTTCCTGAAAGTATATAATGAATCGCTTGGATTGTGCATTGCTTTGTGATATTACACGAATTTAGAGACCCTTCCCATACCAGCCCTTCACTCAATCGAATATATACACTGTGTACGCAGGCTAAGAAGAAGGTGGCACCGGCGCCCATGCCATTTGATCCTCTGAATCCTAATAAGAAGCGAGGCCGAGGTCGGCCAAGAAAGTACCCGTTACCGGGTCCTCCAGTCCCACCTACTGTAACAGTAGTAGACGTATCCGCCGTACCATCGACCGATGCCGCCGTCGCAACCGCAAAGACGGATGCGCAAATAGAGGCGCATACGCGGAAGGAAACAGAAGTAGCTAATGTGAGTGTGGACGCGAGTGCGGACGCGAGTGTGAAGCCGGTGAAAAAGTCGAAGGACAAGTCTAAACCAGAGCCGAAAGCAAGAGAAGGATCCGTGGGTGCGGAGTCGGCAAGGTTGGACATGAGTAGGACCGCGTCGGTGCCTTCAGATATCGGGAGAGACATTGCAAATCTGGTGAATTTGGTATGTGGCGTGCATTGTCATAAATTGCGCATGGTGTTTCTGTCGCATTCGTTGCCAAATCGGTGTGGTGAGCTGGCGTATCATATGCCTTCATCCATGTGTACCCGTCATTTCATTGTTTTGAGTAGCATTTTCTCAAGTCATTAGAGCCTTCATACTATTGTGTAGCGGTTATCGGCGTTTGCTTATCGCTTGTTTAGAACTGGCTCTTGCACGCTAGCGAGGATTTGTTATTTGGACTCGATTTGTTTACTTGTTAGTGATATCGACACTTTTGTTGCAGCACAAAAAACCTATGGTCCGACTACCGAGACCAACCTTTTATCAGGATGACGAGGAAGGTACTGAGCTAGCTTCGCCAGTGCCTCCAAAGAATTTGTTTCAACCCAGATCGCCGCGATGTTCCTTCTGTTTGGGCGACACAGCTGCAAATAAGGTACCTGAATTCTGAATTGCAATTCGTCTACATACAAGGAAAGATTTCCGAACTTTGGAAATCAGAGGCAAATCGTTTCATACAAAGATGTCATAATTTCTATGAAGCCAAAACGAATTTGTTGTGTCCAATGCGAAGGTGGCGGCGTACTTGCCGTGTAATTTTTTCGGCGCTCACTTTTTCGCGAATGAAGCATGGATATATGGATATGTGCCGATCATATCATATCCAAATCGAGTTTCATCTGACATTTCTTTTCACAACAAACTTTATAGGATGGTGAGCCTGAAGAAATGCTTGGATGTAGTACGTGTACCAATCATGGACACCCATCTTGTCTACAGTTTACCGATCTGCTAACTGAACGCTGCAAAACGTATCCCTGGAAATGCCAAGAATGCAGAGTAAGTACCTATCGAGTGGCATATCATATCTTGATTTTTATCTCGCGCCATTGCGAACTCTTCTGATCAGCTCGTACGAAATACTGACTAGTACTGTTTGAAGATCATAAGCACGCACGTAGCACATGGGTGCGTCGAGAAGGCTTTCCAAACGTGAACCAAGCGCGCAAGCAGTTTCCTATCATCCTCAATAGGTGTGATTCATACCACGGTTCAGCCATTAATTTCGAATCCTTTTGCTTGAATCTAAATCACCGCGAGTGAAGGCTTGCGAAAAATGTCGGCGGAAAGACAATGAGGATCTTCTTCTGTTCTGCGACGGATGCGACCGTGCCACACACGGATTTTGTCTGATACCGAAAATAACTGATCCGCCTCCAGGTGTGCAAGCTCGATTGCGTTACTATGAACACACAATGATGGTACTATAGGTTTCTCCAGTTTAGGCGGACTACTCCTAATTATTTGCTTCCTTTCTAATACCTGAATATCTCGCCTCTGCGGAACGTCCTTTTCGTGCAGGAGACTGGTTCTGCTCACTCTGTCCCGAGTCGAAGATCCAGGAGAAGCAATTACGAATGTCGCTAAAAGCCCAGCAACCATTACATACACACACACCGCCATCGCCAACCACACTGGCACTTCAATCCCTATCAAGAGAAGAGTCGCTATCACCGACGACACAAGCACTACTGTCACCTCCACCGCCGTTAGCGTCCATATTGCGGCCGCTGCCTCCAGTTGCAAATCCTTCTTCACGGAGAACTAGTGAATTGTCAATGGTAAAGGTGATCTCAAAGGTGATCTCAAACCCGGGAACCAACGGAAACATGTCGAATTGAGTATTCGCACAACAACCAAGGAGTGTGACGTATTCTGGTGTCAATTCCCGGCCCCCTACTTTGATAGGGATGGGGACTGTGCCAGTGCGGCCTGCACACATGCCTTACGTTCAACCTCAGGTGAATTACCGACCCAACCTCCAGCAGAGACCGCCAGATGAACACCCGCAAGCCAGACCCCCGGCATCCGCTACAGGGATATAGTTTTTCCAAGAACCCTAGACCCTGAGAGTATTTTATTGAAATAAAATTAGTATAGTAAAAATAAATCTCATTGCACATACATTTCATAAAAATTTACATCCAAATCCCAGCGAATAGTCCAGAACTCGAGTCATATCGCTACATGTACGCCTATTTATTTTACATCCTTAGGGCTCGTATACCTGGATATGCACACTTCGTCTCGGCATGGAAGGCTTGCAGTTCATGGACCTTCCGACAGATATACACCAGCTCCTCATGACGTATCTGCAACTGTCGGATCTTCGTGAGCTTGCATGCACCTGTAAACATTTCAGTCAGGCCTCTAAGGCGACACACGTGTACACAGAAGTCCTTAGAAATGAATTGCGGGCAGGAGAATTAGGTAGCACGCATCACATCCCCAAGGGTACCTTGGAGAGAGTGTTACATAGAGCCTGGTCCTGGGAGAAAGTGGTTAATGCTCCTGTGCTGGACTTGGTCTTGAATGCTAATAAGCGCTCATGGGCCGAGGATGCATTCGTATATGCATGTGGGAGGGGTTGTGTCGATTTTGTAAAGTTACTACTTTCACGTCGGTTCAAAATACGCCCAGACTCTCTGGAGAATGGGGGTATCGAGCGTGCATGTAAGAACGGACACGTGCAAATAGCCTTACTATTATTAAACTGGCACAATACACGTACAGAGGACTCTAGGAATCATCTAGATGAATACGATTCCTGTGATAATTTCGAGAGCAACAGGATAGGTCTTAATCACGTTGCTAATGAACACGAGTCTCACATGGGGGTACAAAAAAGTGCCATAGATGTCAATCCATCCGTGAATAACGATCGTAGCTTCAGGTTGGCATGCAGGAACAATCAAGTAGCCGTGGTAAATATTCTTCTGGCGGACAAGAGAGTCGATCCGAGCGCTAAGAGTAGTGAAGGGATTCGAGTGGCGTGTAAGAGAGGGTATGCGGAACTGCTGGAGGTTTTGTTACTGGATGGCCGGTCTGACCCTGGTGTGAGTAATAACCTGCCCCTGAGACTGGCTGTGAAGTCTCTCTCGCTCAGAGCGGTAGCTATGCTGGTGGACGATAGACGGGTGGATCCCAGCGTCAATGAACACGAGCCCTTGAAGTACGCCACCAGACACGCGAGAAATGATATTGCAATCTTACTGAGGAAAGGAGAGAGACAGCGAGAGTCAGCAAGTACGTGGTCGGGTAATCGGAATCCGATGCTCACGCCGTTGGACACGGACTAGTATTCGAGACGATAAATAAAATACGACATTATATTGAAATATATATATATTGAAGTTTGCTATGTCCTGATGAGTGCGAAGCTGGATTAACAAGAGTCAGCGTACACTGTAGTGTACAATTCGTGTTATGTTACCTTGAAAATAGGTTTGACCCAAACCAGCTAAAGATTGAGCATTTGCATGCAATTGTATACGCAAAGCGGGGCCCAAAACTGTGTTTACCGCAGACAAATAAGTTGTGCAATTACTGAGAGATTCACCAACACCGTGATTCGTCGTGGACTCTCATATTGCCAATGGGCCTGCTTCAGCAAAATTCGGTAGTTTAATCATTCAAGGCACCATTAGCAGCTATGAAAACAACAGATATCGTCCAGAAACTCATGAGCAACCCCGGCCACTACCCAGACACTCCCCTTTAATGCTGCGCTGGTCAAGGGCGATGATATTGCTTACATCAGTCCTGAGTTGAATGAACGGGCGGTCTTTCCTCTGCATTGCGTCAGAATCGTTCGAATCCCTTTATTAGTGAGATGTTGAAGGTTTACATTAACAAACACGCTTTTAACTCTCGTGGGGTCGCGCATGGCCGCGTAGCCGTCGATCGCCGGCTATGCTAACTACACCCGAACTACTGCCAAAACAGCGAAACTCCTTTCGACGCATGCCTGTCTCATTTTTTTTGACATGATATGAAAATATTATTTGATAACGATTGAGTCTAGTCGAGAGTCTGCTAATTGATCTGTAGACCTTATATAATATAATGGCTCGATTTTTCACATCCGCACGCACATCGAGACAGAAAAGGGAATATACAATCATTAACGCCCAAGTTTCAATATACTGCCGTGTTCTGAGATACAACGCTCCTCATGACATGCGTACCGTGGATCGCCTCTTGCAGTTTGCTCGATTTGGTTTTTTGTTTCTCTAAGCAACAAGATGGCAGCGCGCCCTCAGAGCATTCACTGCCAACAGTATAGGTGACAAACTTCTACACATCCCCACGTGGTAAGTCTTGACTAAATGTAGATGGATTACCTACCAATTTGTGACATACCTACAATATGCACGCACGGGAAATCAAAATATTTAGTACAATACAGTCTGATGCGTAATTTTTACTACTGTTTTATGGAGTGCTATGCTGTCTCCACCAAGACCAACATCAATTGCATATATACGTTGCGACAAATTTGTCTCCACCGAATCTCGGCCCATTCCACTCCATGAGATAACCGGCGAAACGCATATGCATTACATCGCCATGTACTCTCAGCACCAGGTAAGAAGCCTCCATCAGCTATACTTCTTACACAGCAAGCGGAAGATAACTACTATCGAATGCTGTACAATATGGCTAGCGCGCGGGTGCCAATTCAGCCCTCGGTCATTGTGCGGCGGTGGTATTCTCCAATCGATTATACCCGTCGGAGTTCTGGGCAAAGGTTTGCGACGAAGCTGAAACTTCATACCTCGATAGATACATTCGGGGAAGAGTTCAAGCTCTGAGATTGAGCTCTCATCGTAGATTATCTGAAATAGCGCAGCTCATTTCATCTGGGCCCGTTTGTGTTCGAGCTAGATTAGATATCAGATGGATAAAAAATTTCAACCCGAATGAGAAATGGTTCCCTTGGAACAATCCAATTGATGAACGGAAATGAACAATAAAAAGATCTGGGAACCTGGTTTCGTACGAAATTCGCTTTTCTGTCTACACGTGCAGGTTCGAACGATGCTCATATTAATCACTCGGAAACTGGGACGTCGACATAATTGAATATTCATGAGGACTTGTCTATACACCGTGAACTAGAGCCAACTTTCATATTTCGTTATCATGTGCAGAAAACAAAACTTATGTTCTTTAAAGCATTTATATACGTATTT